CTGTTATAAAAGCTAAGTTCCAATCCCCTAGGCTTAATCCTAAGGTCCTGGGTGCAAATCCTGTAATGTGAATAAAATGATGTTGTAACTTGGTGGTTAAGATACCTGCTCTCAAATCAAATCCCAGGGTCCTGGATCCCAGCATCTTTACTATTACTCAAAAAATAGTTCATTGTTTAAAGTTTTGGTCACAACACAAAATAATTTCCTACTGTAAAATTTTTGACCGTACATTACAATCTCCCTCAGCACACTGACTGGAATGTGAAATTATTGGTGAATTTAATACATTCTCAATGTGCATGGCAACATTTTCCAATAAAGTTTAGTTGAGTTGCATTGGTAGTTCAAATGCTTACCTTTCTTTCGTAGTCCTGGGTTCGAATCCTGCAATGTTAATGGAATGGAACTGTATCTTGGTGGTTAAGATGCTTGCCATTACATTACAGGATCATGAATTCCAATTATGTCTTGAGTTTCAAAGCCCTGAGTTTGTGCTGTAAAATTGTAGTTACATATTAAAAACATATTCTATGCATGTATTATAATTTACATATAAAGTAATAACATAAATTTACAACTACTTTACAGAAAAGAATTGACCTATAGTATTGCTTTCAAAATTCAATTTAAAAAAAAAACCACAAAAACTATTTTCTATGAATAATGACAACCTATAGACCTGAATCATTTTATATATGCATATTATAATTTTCATATCAATTAAGCAGCATCAACTCATCTAGAATACATGCATACTTTAATCCTCACTATTTGAAGGGGTATGAGGCTGCCTTAAACCTGCTACGCCTATAATGAATGTTATCAATTATAAACATTTTGTCATCATTGTATGACTACTGTACATGCAAAAAACGTTTAATAAGTGGACCTTAAGTTTTTGGTTAATGTCCCCTAAAATAGGGTACCCCTACAATTATTATTGGCCCTAAAGCTGTCTATTAATTCTATATAAGTTCTACTATATACCCTTCAATTAAATACAATTCAATTTAATTAGATACAGGGCCAACACTGACATACACAATTGATTCAATCCAGGCCCCATCAGCAAATAATAATAATAGATAGATTTATAAAGTGCAAATAAACAAGGTCTGTATGCGCTCAACAATACTGTAGGTTAGACAATGAAAAATCACAATAAAAAGCAAGAAAAAAACCAATAAAATGCAGCATGGGGTTACAACCGTCACTGCCAACTAGAGGTCTGTGCATATGTACTCCGGTTAGCCTTTGTTAAGTATTGATTCTGGGATCAGGTGCCTCCTTACTTGGACCAAACAACACTAGCTAGAGAGGAGAAACAAAGAATTTGAAAAAAAAAAATGTATTAGAAAAAGTACTGTAATGGAAAATCTAATGCTAACTAGGATAGTTTTAAGTGCCTCTTTTGAATAAGCGCTGGTGTTGAATAAACATCACACCAAACATGATCTTTTTTTCTAAGCATGGCTCATGAATAAGCGTCACTCTCGATTAAGCAATGTAGCATAGATTAGAAATGTATTTTGTTTTAATAAAAACATTGCCGAGTTTCATTCAGACTACATAAACAACATGTAACAACTTTTTAAGCTTCATTCCCAGCAAAATTTCACTAAAAAAAGAATTTAAAAAAAAAAAAAAATGCATATGCATTTCTCTAGTTATAAACCATGGAAAAATATTGGCATAAATTTTAGTTTATGCAAGATTATAAAAAAAAAATGAGAAAAAAAAAGAGAAATAGAGACTATTTCTCATAGGAGATTACCCTTTTTTTGATGACTTCTTTGTTACTAAGCAAATTCAGAGGTTGTAGATCGCATCTTCAGGAACGCTCTCACTTTGTGTATACTTTATACAGTCAACAAAGTGCACCCTCTCTAATGAGATTAATTATTGTACTTCGCATCTTGCACACTGCGGTCGATCGAGAAAGCCTAAGATGTTTGTTAATTGTGAAGATCTCGGTCAGAATCTTTTTTTTTTTAAACAAATTTGAAATAATTCCAATGAAATATTACATTTTACAAATATAAATACTAGCAACGGAAAATATCATGTCGGCCGTTTTTATGTCTGGTAACAGAACCTAAATCGAAGTAAGGCTAGGCCTAGCCTAGCAGTGTTAGATAAGCTTATGTTTCCGATGCCTACTATATTTCTTCGCAGACCTACCACAAAATCAAACATAAAAAAATTCATCCTCATTTATTTTTTGTTTGTAACACAAAAAATTAAATTTCAGTATTACTCTAGATTTTTTTCATGTTTAGGAATGTCTAAATTCAGCTACACTAGCAATTGTGTATTATATTTATAAATCTTTATCATAACATATAAATATCAGATTTTTCTTAAAAACTGAAAATTTTGCAAGGAATGGACCTTTAATTTTAAAATGAAACTAAATATTAATAAATTATTATAGTAAATGATGTACCGATTGTAAAATTTAGTTTATTTAAAGATGTTAGTTTTCATACAGCAATGTGATTTTATACTTTAATTCATTTATTACTTTTACTATTTTTTACCCATTAAATAATCATGATACATAAATTTGTTACCGGGCCTTTTGTCGAGACAAATAATAATAATGCTCATTTTAGCGTTACATTAACACTCTTTTTGAATAAAGCCAATGTAATGTTGAATAAGTGCCGAACTAAACCCTTAAAAATGGTAAAGTGTGTTTATTGGTATATTTACGGTAGTTGGAATAGTATATTTTTATTATACTTAACTAAAATACATGAAAAATATTTATATTTCAGTAGGGAGACAACTTTTATTGTATTTAGAAAAGGAGTGGATTTGAATGATAATTCTATTTATGAACAGGCAGATCAATTTCAGTACTAAAATTCTTTAGGCCAACTTCCTTAAAATTCTCTTCTTCATATATCCATAGAAACACTAATGATATAGATTTGAAAAAAAGTGAGGTAAAGAAAGCAGCAAAATTGATAGTAGAATTGAGTGCAAAATTTATCAGATAATGAACTAAACGATGAAAATAAATCCATTTACATAATCTATGGAGTTCGTTAATGTGAATTTGCAGACAGATTTTTAAAAATCCATGTCATGTGGGCTGTTGGAATGAATGCATTTGAATTTAAAAGTGAAATTTCCAAGGCCAAATTCAAGAGAACATATCTAGAATATTAACGCCACAAAATCAAGTTCATCACTGGAAATAGAAACTATTCTGAGTGATTGAATATAAATACTAATGTAATAATAAACAAAATTCATATTGCACCAATTTCAAAATTGATCAATTATCTATTGGAGATTTAAATGCATAAATGAATAAATATTTTCAGAATATCTTGAATTTCAGATGACTGGAATTCCAACAGCATGATTAGAAACAATAGGCTAGGCTAGGTGGGATTAGAATAAACAGTCTAAACAAGTAAACAGGAAGGCCAAAACTAAACTTTAGAGGCGTGCCTCAATAAATAAGCCAAATGATTTATCCAGAGATTTAAATGCATAAATGAATAAATATTTTTAGAATATCTTGAATTCAAGATGACTAAAATTCCAATATTTTATATATATATATTATATATATACTGTCTCTTATACACATCTAGATGTGTATAAGAGACAGGTTCTGGCTACACTTGATGTTTCGTCATTATATACTAATATCCCTCATGAAGAAGGTGTTAATGCGTGCATTTCAAATTACAAGCAAATTCGGGGCAAAACCCCATCTAAATCACATCTCCGTGAACTTATCATGCTGATTCTGACCAATAATAACTTTGTTTTCGGC